CAAAATGGCTACCGGCCAGAAACTTGGGAGGCAGTCCGCTACCCACCTTTTCCAACACCGGCGGGGGCGCAGAACAGACCCGACTGGATGGCGAATATGGAGTGCTATTATTGCCGGCAGCGAGGGCACATACAGAGAGTCTGCCCCCGGAGACCCCCACAGATAGACAGGAACACCTCACTACCAACAGGACCAGCCACCAAGGGTGGAGAACAGCCAAGGTTAAACTAGTCAGGACCAGGCATAGGGTCAATGACCTGGTCCAGGGAACGTCGACTAACAAAACCAGATCCCGGTCTATGCACTCCACCTTCTGCGCCCCTCAGGAGCAAGAGCAAAGGAAGGAAGCAGAACATACAGTAAAAACCAAAAGAGAGGAAGCTGAACATAAAGTAAAAACGGATAGAGGAGAATCTCATCAAACCGTGACGGAGCCAAAAGAAACCAGTGAGCGACAACCCAGCCAGGAGGAGAAGCCACCCATAACTGTTGCACCCATGCATAACCAGCCTACCTGGGTAGTGCCGGTGCAGGTAGAAGGGTACCACATGGACTTTCTTTTTGATAGTGGGGCAAGCACGACCCTCATCAACCAAATCAGGTACGACAAGCTAACTAACCAGGAGAGGCCCTTACTCCGCCCAGGCCGATGTGACCTAAGAATGGCTAATGGGGAGAAAATGGACAACACAGGAGAGGTGGACCTGCACATAGAAATCGGAGGGAGCAAACACAAGAAGACAATGGTAATCACCTCACTCGGAGGTATGGACGGAATACTCGGACTCGATTTTCTCACACCTCACCGAGCATCCTTCAACATGTCTACGGGAGCACTAATATTAGATGACCACACCATCTAGTGCTACCGGCTGGGAGGTGAGGACAACAAGCAGGTACAAGTAGGAGAAGCTACCATCGTTGAGCCAAGAAGGCAGTATACTATCCCAGGGTGGACGGGGACAAGCGCCCACCTGACTGCAGGCTTAGACAGAACTGAGGAAGATCCCCCGTGCTCTTTGAAAGCACGTACGGGAAAACACCAGAGCCAGCTACCCGAACACCCCCAAAACTTGCTGGGCTGACAAAGATTTAACGGACGAACACCGGTGGGACTTGGCAACCAAGCTCCACGAGTACCAAGACATCTTTACGGGCCCAGCAGATGGCTTAGGGAGGACGGACCTAGTGAAGCATCACATTGATACCGGGCAGGCAAGGCCGATAAAGCAAGCACCGCGGCGTGTTCCCCTACACCGGCAAGGGGAAATGGAAAAAGAAATCCAGGAGATACTCTACAAGGGAGTTATAGAACCAGCTAATGGACCATGGGCTTCACCAGTGGTCCTGGTTCCAAAGAAGGATGGCGCAGTAAAATTCTGCGTAGATTACAGAAGACTAAACCAAGTAGTACACAAGGATGCCTACCCATTACCAAGGATCGATGACCTGTTAGATGCACTCGGAGGCGCCTCGTGGTTTGCAACACTGGACCTAGCCGCCGGATACTGGCAAGTGGAGATGGCGGAGGAGTCAAAACAAAGAACGGCATTTTCCACGCGAGACGGACTCTAACGCTCCCTGGTCATGCCGTTTGGTTTGTCGAACGCACCAGCGACCTTCGAACGACTCATGGAACAAGTTCTCAAAGGGATACAGGGGAGGCAGTGTCTGGTATACTTGGATGACATAATAATTTTTGGAAATACTTTCCAGGAGGCTCTGGACAACCTAACAATGGTGTTCGCCCGGCTGCGAGCAGCCCATCTGAAACTAAAACCAGCAAAGTGTCATTTGTTTCATACCAGCGTTAATTTCCTGGTACACCTGGTGAGCAAAGAAGGATTAAAATGCGACCCGTCAAAAATCGAGACCGTTGCCACGTGGGAAACTCCGAGATCTATCAAGGAGGTGCGAAGCTTCCTGGGGTTCGCGTCGTACTATCGAAGGTTTATACCGGGATTCTCCTCAATCGCCGCACCCTTGACGGCGCTAACAAGAAAAAGAGCAACCTACCAGTGGAACGAGGAAGAGGAAACCGCATTTAGCAGGGTAAAAATAGCCCTAACCACGACACCCATCTTAGCATACCCTACGCCCAATGGGGAGTTCACACTGGACACGGATGCAAGCAATACCGGCTTGGGAGCCGTACTGTCCCAGACCCAGGAGGGAGAGGAGAAAGTAATCGCCTATGCTAACAGAATGATGAACCGATCACAGCAAAGGTACTGTACCACGAAGAAGGAGTTACTAGCGGTGGTAACATTCGTCAGACAGTACCATCACTACTTATGGGGACGGCCTTTCCGAGTCAGAACGGATCATGCATCATTAACCTGGCTGGTCAACTTTAAAAACCCCGAAAGTATGATTGCCCGCTGGATTACACTCCTAGAGACCTACGACTTTAGGATTGAACACAGAAAAGGACAGCACCATTTGAACGCTGATGCCCTGTCCCGAAAGACGGTAGGCAAATGCCTAAGAGAAGACTGCCCAGACGATAGGCACTGGAACGCCAGGGAGAAGAGGGTATCCGAAGAAAGAGAGGTTAGACTGGAAGAAAGGACCCCAACAAGCAGCGACAACGAAGGAGACGGAATTGGAGGAGAAGAGTCACGATCCCCCAGAGATGAGCGAACCAAAGAGCTGGTAGGGACGGATGTAGACGGACGCAGCCAAGTACTGGTAATTACAGAAGTAGAAGAGAGCCAAGGCCACACCAGGGACAACCCTGAAGCTGAGGGGGACCAGAATCTCTGGAGGCCGGAGAATATAAGAAAATTACAAGAAGAGGATCCAGTGATTTTTTTCTTCAAAGGATTAAAGGAAGAGGGGACACCGAAGCCAGACTTCGGACAGATCTCTCACCTGGGAGCAGAAGCTAAGGCATATTGGGGACAGTGGGACCAGCTAGAAGTCCAGGAAGGACGGCTGTACCGACGATGGGAGACGCCGGTTACCCCAAGTCGCCCTATCTGGCAGCTAATCGTTCCGAAAGATCTAAGAAAAGAGATATTTCGGCAATTACACGATCACCGAACGGCCGGACATCAAGGGGAAAAACGCAGCAGGGCAAGCATGCAACAGAGATTCTACTGGCCACAGTATACCCAGGACATCAAGAGATGGTGCCGATACTGCAGCACCTGCGCCAGACGAAAGCCAGGAAAAGGACTGAAAAGAGGACGATTAAAACAAATTCTGTACGGGGCACCATTTGAGCGAATTGCCATAGACATCATGGGACCGCTGGAGGCAACCTCTGCGGGGAAGAAGGTGATCATGGTCGTCTGCGACTACTTTTCCAAGTGGACCGAAGCCTACGCTCTGCCCAATCAGGAAGCCTATACGGTCGCGGACACCCTTCTCACCGAATACATATGTCGATATGGAGTCCAGTATCAAATCCATACAGACCAAGGACCCGATTTTGAATCCCGACTATTCCAGGGCGTCTGTAAACTTCTGCAAATTACCAAAACCCGGACCACACCCTACCACCCACGATCAGACGGACTAGTGGAAAGGTTTAATCGGACATTGCAGCAGATGCTATCGAAGTTTGTTAATCAGTACAGGGATGATTGGGATGAGCATCTCCCGTTCGTGATGATGGCCTACCGAGCCACAACGCAAGCCTCCACCGGTTGCTCACCCAACCTAATGATGTTCGGACGGGAGATCCACCTGCCGGTCGACATCATGGTGGGACCCCCACCTGGCCCGCAGCAGAATACCAGATGCCCACACGAATACGTCCAGTGGATACGAGAGGTAATGACTGAGGCATATGACTTTGCCCGCTTGTCTCTAAGGCAAGCTGCGCAAAGACAAAAGCGAGGGTACGACAAAAACGTCAAACTCTTACCCTTAGAGACCGGCCAATTCGTCTGGTACTGGTGTCCACCACGAATCCGAAGAAAGCTGGGTCATAGCTGGCGGGGACCCTATTTGATCATTAAGAAAATGAGCGAGTTGCTATGCGTTATTCAGGAGGGGCCGCACACCAACAGGCGGGTAGTGCACGTGGATTATCTAAAACCCTATGAAGCAGAGGAATCACCACTAGATTGGAGGCTACCAAGAACGGAGGAACCGCCATTAACGCCCCAGAGGGAAGAGACTCAAGGAACGGAGCGGGACATCGACACTGAGGGAGTACAAGGAGAAGAAGAGGACATCCCTGAACCACTTGACCCGCCATGGCCAGAGGATAGGGGGGACCCTTCTGATAGTGATACCCCCGAGGATCACTGGGCTGAGGGCCCACCCACCGAAAGGGGGGAGGGACGAAATCAGGAGTACCCGGGGCTGCCGCCAAAAGAGGGGCCCACGGTGAGAAGAGGAGAGCGCACTAGGAAACCTCCTCTGCGCATGGACCTGTAAGGGGGGGAGGACATACCACTATCCGAAGGGGGCAGCACTAACTCAATTTTGGAAAACATTTCAGAATGGACGAACCACAGTTCGAAATCTATGCGGAGTCAGACGACACGTTGCAGGGAAACCTGCCAACGCAACAACCCCGTCTCACAGGCGGGCAAAAGCCTGATACATCCAGAGGCCGGGTACAGCCAGGGCGGAGGAACTGGCCGTACAACGGAGTTGGACGACCATGGTACAACTCCAGACCCACACCACGAAGGGAAACCCCTTCAGGAGTCCCTGTGGCCAACCGAAGGAGCCAGGCAACCTTCGGACTGCCCCGCCAAGTGAGGGACGAGGACCAACCATCGGTGGCAGTCGGGAGCCAGGGAAGGAGGCAATCGGGGAGAAGCAGGGAGGAAGAGGAGAGGGACCGAAGGGAAAGGAACGAGAGGATCAGACTCGAGAGGAGAACGCGATTTGAGAGGGAGGAAGAGGAGAAGAGGAAGAGAGAACGGGAGGAGGCCAAGCGGATAGCCTAGCGCCAACGGTATGAGGAAGCTCAAAGGAGTTGGCCTTCTTCCCAGAGGGAGGCAGAGGAGCACCCCGAACCGGAAGATGTACTCACCATGCCAGTTCGGCCCTTCGCCTGGGAAGTGGGCGCCATAGTGAGTCCTCTGCCGGCCACCCCACCACCCAGCACTGCCGCCGACATCGCCCGGAGCCACGTTCCCGCCGCCCCACAACCCAGCACCACCGCCGACGTCGCCCGGAACCCCATACCCGTCGCACCGAAGGCCAGCACCGCCGCCCGTGTCGCCATGAGCACTCAGCGCCTCGCGGAAATGCGCCGGGAATGGAGGAAGCTAATGCTCCGGGTTGAGGAAGAGGAGCGACACCTCGCGGAATTACTCACGATCGAGAAGAGGGAGCAGGAGGAGCAGAGGACAAAGTGGGAGAAAGTCAGGCGGAAGGAAGGGGAGTTGGAAAAAGAGAAAGCCGCATTGCAGAAAGATGTGGAGGAGCTGAGGAAGGACAAGGAAAGGTGGTGTGCCATTCGACCAGTCACAGCCGGCGAGATAGTCCGGCAGCTCAAAAGGCAATATCGCGCCACCGGGAGCCGAACCTCAGGAGCGGCATTAGACCAGGACCTCATGCTGAGCTCTAGTCCGGGAGAGACGTCATCGGACGAGGAACTGTAAGGGACCTAAATTGGCTCCTTCCCCGGTATGGTCTGCACCAGGCGATAGATAGAACCTACGGGTATAACCAGCTGTTTTTTTATTTTTATAAAACGTGAGAAAGATATATAACCATATCCCGTTGAAATATTTATTGTTAAAAAGCATATATAACCCTTGTCCCGTTGAAATATTTATTGTTAAAAAGCATATATAACCCTTGTCCCGTTGAAATGTTTATTGTTAAGAAACCTATATAACCTGTTTCCGTTGAAACATTTATATCTATATATAACCTGATATCCTTGAGATTTTTTTTGTAGTTTTAGAACCCGTAAATAAATCAGTATTATCTTTTCAAACAACTCTTCATCGCATAAATTACGGAGAAGCCAAAAACGGGTAATCCGCATCCGAGGGCGGATGCTAGAGGAAGAAAGGGGGAGTGTAGAGATTTCGGTTACACCGAACACTCTGTTTTAAACCACAACACACGACAGGGCGCGGCCATTTTGGAATAACTCAAAACCTGGATCGGAAGACCAGGTGACACCCAAATTCCACTTAAGAAGTCAATATGCACAATTAAATAAAGGAAAGGTCAAGCTATAATAAAATACAGGTTAAAAGGATAGCGCACAGTTGTCTGGCAGCAGAATTACCCAGCGACTACAAGTGTGTGTGTTTTGTGAGTATGAAATATACAGTGAAACGGCAGTTGTAACCAACATCAGTCTACTCTCATTTTATTATCGTATTTGTAAATTTAGTCAAGCAATTACACGGCGCACATAGCACGCAAGCTATACACACTACACATAGAATCTAGCAACCGAGGACTGTGAACACTGCTAAACAGCTGTTCCACCCTGAACATATGCACATTGGCCGGAATGAAGATATTTCCAGAAGACTGATGACCGCCCTGTTTGTAAATCTAGCGGACATCCTACGTCATTACCTACGTCATACCTATGCCTTCCTTGTAGCCAGCAGTGATGGTTAGAAGACATATTTGGTAAGGAATTCACGGCTCATTTTACAAAGAGGGGTATAAGAGAGCTCGCGCGGAAGAGACGGGGGCTGAGATTCTTAGGTTCTTAGGTTCTTACTGTGTTGAAACCAAGTTCTGCTTAATGTGTTGTTTGTTCTCTGCCGACTGTTGCCCAAACTAATGTAGTGATACGGCCACGGTGTATATTGAAATGTCATTTATTGTAAATTGACACGGGCAGTGGTGCCGCCACCATGTGTATCTAGTTTGTAGCCGAGCTAATGTTGTTTACTGTGGAACTAATTTCAACATGTTGGTGTGTGTCCATCAGATAAATGCGTCTTCACTGCCGCTGGTGTGGTATATGATTATGCCGGGTGCCTGCTCCGCCGCTGTCAATTTGCTTGTGTGTGTGGACTGGTGCTAAATGCGGTCGCAGAATGACATTAGCGTTGCTACAATATGATGTCCCCGCTCTAAAAATTCGTGGGGGGGCACATCTCCCTGTCCCCACCTGGATTTGTGCCCCTGAGTAGGGTGATACTCCATTAGGAGTGTTCCCAACTTTAATGTCATTAATGTTAAACAACCCGTAGAAAAGATGTGGTTGCAAGTGAACCGAATGCACCACAGGTAAATGCTAATTTCTACATAGCATAAACAAATTGTTAATTGGCGGTTTTGCATTTTACACCAATCATACATCAAACATCACTGGCATTGCCGACCACATATTAGCACGAATATCAGTGGCGCTTACGGTTCGGTGGGGTCGACGCGTTCCAACATGTATATATGTGATAGCATTCGTCAATGCTATCCGCTGTAAGGTGTGTATATTCTACTACAGCATATATTGATATCAACACATTGAATGCGCTATAATTAGTCGCAGCGAATGCTTCGTTGTAAGTCATTGATAACAAAAGCAAATAGTCGACAACAGCAAGAACTTGTGTTATTTTGCGTAACAACAATTTCATAGCAGGCATTTATAAATCTGTATTTTGTTTATGAATGCGTGATTAACTGTCTCGTGTATCAGTTATTACTTTACTGGTGATATAATTATTTGCAATTGTTTTAAATTCGATTCATGTTGCGAATATAAACTGATTTGATGGATGTTTACTCATATGATACATTAGAAAAAGCTGTAGGGTGCTGTGAGGAGGTGAGACTTCAAGAAGTCAGAGATGCGGGATTGCTTGGTGTACGTAAGAATATTATGTATATGGTGATTTGTTGTTAGTGTTTGTTTATAAGGCTGGTTAATCCTGCTTTTGTAGAAATAACATTCAACATCTTTGCAGTGTGGATGGCACTTACGCACTAAGCCCAGGAGCGACCATAAGATAGTTTTACAGCAATGTTTGTGGGCGAGGTGCACAGTTGCTTTTGCAATTATTTAAGGGAAGCGACCACCTGGTGTCCTGGTATCAGGAGATCAGACCGGTTTCATCATAACAGCAGGTATACATAATCACACCTCTATCTTCTTTCTTCTCTTCTCTGTCTTTCTATCTTCTGCTTCTCCGGAGGGTAAACTGTGCTCGGTCGTCTGCTCCCGGGTGACTGCCCCCAGTTCTCCTACACTGGGTCAGTGTTTCTCCCGTGTGAGTGCTCCTATTGGTCGTGCCGCCCCCCATCGGGTCAGCTCTCCTCGTCTGGGGGGGGGGGTGCGTCCGTAATCCTAATGATATTCTGGCTATGAGCTCCTATATGAGGCAGTCAGTGCTCCGGCCGTAGTTTCCTATTTATCCTAGGGCCTATGAGGCAGTTTAGCGCGCCCTTGTTCTTCTATTTATCCTAGCGGCTTATGAGCCTATGAGGCAGTCAGCATGTCTTGGGTCTCCTACAGTGCTCCGATGGCTATAAGCCTATGAGCAGTTTAGCGCGCCTCTGTTCTGTTATTTATCCTAGGGTTTAGAGCCTGTGAGGCAGTCAAGCATGTCTTGGGTCTCCTACAGTGCTCCGATGGCTATAAGCCTATGAGGCAGTTTAGCGCGCCTCTGTTCTGTTATTTATCCTAGGGCTTATGAGCCTATGAGCAAGGCAGGTCGCCTTGGGGCTCCGGAGTGCTCCTATAGGCAAGGCAGGTCGCCTTGGGGCTCCTGAGTGCTCCTAAGGCAAGGCAGGTCGCCTGGTTCTCCTGAGTGCTCCTATAGGCAAGCAGGGCTCCTGGTTCTCCTGAGGATCCTGGGTTCTCCGCTAGCGCTGCTGCCTGCCCGGCACGTTCTGCTTTCTACGGCTTTTCGGCCGCCTTATATACGCCTCGGTTGCAGCAATGCTCCCTGGTCACGTGCTTTTTCCCCATTCCCCTAGTACTTTAAGCAGGAGTATTCCAGCTGGCATCGCTTATTTACTGGTTTGTACGCGTCAGTTCTGCTTCGTACCGGCCGTTTGTTTACACGCCGTGCCGCATTTAGGCCGACTTTACGTCAGCTGCCTGGCCGAGTAATTTTCCCTTCATATTCTATTCTAATTATTGTTTTATTTATTTACTTGTTATCCTGTAGCAACGCTAATATCATTCTGCGAACGCATTTGGTAACAGCCCACACACAGACTAATGTTACACTATCGACGGCGCATATAGCATTCACCCGGCATAATCATATACCACACCAGCGGCAGTGAAGACGGATTTATCTGGTGGACACACACAAACATGTTAAAATTAGTTCCACAGTAAACAACATTAGCTCGGCTACAAACTAGATACACGTGTTGGCGGCCACTGTCCAATCGTACGTGTCAATTTGCAATGAATAACATTTAAATATACACCGTGGCCGATCACTACATTAGTTTGGGCAACAGTCGGCAAAGAACAAAACAACACATTAGCAGAACTTGGTTTCAACCACAGCTGCTAAACAGCTTGTTCCACCCTGAAATATGCACATTGGCCGGAATGAAGATATTTCCAGGAAGACTGATGACCGCCCGTTTGTAAATCTAGCGCGACATCCTACGTCATTACCTACGTCGTACCTATGCCTTCCTTGTAGCCAGCAGTGATGGTTAGAAGACATATTTGGTAAGGAATTCACGGCTCATTTTACAAAAGAGGGGTATAAAAGAGCTCGCGCGGAAGAGACGGGGCTGAGATTCTTAGGTTCTTAGGTTCTTATGTTCACAGTCCTCGGTTGCTAGATTCTATGTGTAGTGTGTAGTGTGTGTGTTTTGTGAGTATGAATATTACAGTTGAAAGGCAGTTGTAACCAACATCAGTCTACTCTCATTTTATTATCGTATTTGTAAATTTAGTCAAGCAATTACACGGCGCACAAGCACGCAAGCTATAGCGCACAGTTGTCTGGCAGCAAGAATACCCAGCGGCTACATTGGGCCGTAGACCAGGATTCGAAACAACGCGGGGTGCTACGCTATACGATTCACGCCGTTACACTGAACTGCACGAGGATGCGCCAACAATTTCTCGACGAACAGGATTCGAAACACAACAAAAGGAACTAACCACTTATACGATGCACGAAGGTCAAGAGAAAACTGAGTAAGGACAACGCAGAGGAGTAAGATAGAAGAGAAGAAGAAGAAGAAGAAGGAGGAAGAAGAGCAGAGAAGATGAAGAAGAGGAGAGAAGAAGATTGTGACATTCGTTATGCAGAGTTTCGCCATACGCGCAAAATGTATGGAAATGCATGGGACAGTGATATGCAGCTGCAAATAGCGCAGTATAGAGCCAGAACATTCGCAATTGTACGACCTGGCTATGGAAGAAGCAGGGACGACGCAGAAAAACGCCGATTCACATATCGAGGCAGCAAAACATTAATTGCTACCATATGCTATCACGCTGCAACGGACCGCACGCGGATCCGATCGACGGCCGTCGCAAGCAAGCATTACATATACGGAGGCCGGAGTCAGCTACACGCAGGGAAGACAGAAATAGCTGATGCCGGACAGCGACAATATAGCCAGATATCCGCGGAAAAGACAACAAACGATCAAGGAGATAGTTCGAGGCGGGTGAGTGAAACAATTTCTTGTGTCGGCATAAATAGATTGCGTATTAAACTAGCTTGAAAGGTCGAGCGTAAACTTAGCGAGACAGCACTTTCTCCACCTATAACTGTTACCGCACTATCCCCTCCACCACCCTCAACATCCTATTATGTTATTACGTTAGCCATGCCTGATTTACCAATGGAAACGATGGCATGTGTAAGACGTGAAGTTATTAAACCTTTACTGGACAGCGTGGTAAAGGGTCTTGATTTCGGGTTACGCAGTTTCTGAAATGCGTAGAATGCCCGAATTCCCGAGACAACGCATTATAGTCGTAAGGGAATAAGTCGAGCTGCTACGTAGAAGCGCACATGTTAATGCAAGGGCCTCGGATATACGCCCTCTGGACTCGCTGAGGTAGCCACGAACAGAATCGTGGACAGAGAGCGAGAGTTAGTGAGGTAGGGGCACAGGTAGATTTACGCCCGTTAGCAGAACTACGAGATTCAACCTGAGGGGGGTAATCGTTCGCGTTTAGGTGTCACGGTATAAGTTATGATCGCCGAGGATAGCACAGAGGGAATGGACACCTAGAGCACAGAACACCCGCCCACCACCCAACCATACCCTTCCTGATCCATTACTCCTATTGAATACCAAAGAAAGTGCATATTATACTTGTCTTGAAGCTCACGCCTGGAGTACGCAACCATTTTGCCGATATACGATGTTTCACAGCCTACGGGACGTGTTAGTATTGCCTCGTTCATTGTAGTATTTATTGGTGTAATCTTTGCGTGAAACGTTAGGGTAAAATTTGTCATCGCTTTTTTGAATTTGTCGTAACGGTACGTTTACACCATTTGTCAGACTGATAAACACATCTTCAATTAGCAGTTTGATATAGGCCTAAGACATTTAATCTTGAAATATAATCAGTTTGCGGTTTTTTGTTTGGCCGATATATGATGTGTATGATCGTTGCATTGTATTAACGTGTGTGAAGTTGAACAAAGCTACGTTGTCAGGTCCCACTCAGTATTGCCGTAATCGTGATCTGGTAATTAATCGGGCTGCCCTGCTGGATCACCACTCGAAACCCGCGAATAATCGTGCGCGTGTTCTAATGATACGATATTCATAATGATACTATTCATATTCAATTCATAATGATACGATATTCATAATGATACGATATTCATAATGATACGAAATGTTAATACGCTATTCAGCAATGCGAAGTACGCGCATATGTTGTATTGTAGCCTATTATACGTTACAGCATAAAAAGACGCAAAAGTGAAAGTAATTGCAGCGATATCAAAATGTTTACTGCCAAATGTGTTGAAGTTCTGACTCGTATGGTGATCGTACTTTATCGTTACTTATTTTGTAGAGTATGAATATAGTGCGCGGTTAATCAGCAGCTAACGTAAAGCGCCCAGAATCATGCCTTCCTGTTTTGCCTATTTGTTTACGTCTTTATTACCTGTTAAGTGTCAAGATATTGCTTATCTATTGTCAAGATCTTGCTTATCTATTGTCAAGATAGTGCTTATCTAGTGCCAGATATTGCTTATCTATTTGTCAAGATATGGCTTATCTATGTCAAGATATTGTTTATCAATTGTCGAAAATCAAGTATTATTTATTTATTTTCTATGTCATGTAATATTTATGCATTGCATATGATTATATATTGTGTTAGCACTGCCGTAGTTTCTCGGGCGTTGATCCGGATTAATTGATTATACGGTTGCACTTTTCACTGCCGTTACCACAAATTTGGCCTGCACATGCGCTTAAATTTTCATTTTGCAAGCCTCTATGGTACGCGCTAACTTTCTTGTATTTGGGTTTGCGTCTTATTGTTGTTACTGCACATGATTATTATGATTATTATTATTAGGCTTCCGTGCTTTTCTCATTTTAAGGGTCATCTTGTTTACGAATATTACTGTTCTAAAGTTCAAGGGAATTTCTTACATTCCCCTAATCACTGCTGACGGCTCATCTTCTACCTACTATGGCTACCCCTTCATTCATCACATTACCGTTACCGTTCACATTACCGTACATCACATTACCGTTGCTCTTCATACGGAATTTTTACACCCTATTTAGTAGAGCAGTCGGAGCTGCAGTGACAATGGGTCATTGTCTTCCCGGCCTAGGGGGAAATGTAGCAACGCTAATATCATTCTGCGAACGCATTTGGTAACAGCCCACACACAGACTAATGTTACACTATCGACGGCGCATATAGCATTCACCCGGCATAATCATATACCACACCAGCGGCAGTGAGACAGG